GTTGAAAAACTTGATTCAATAACATTCTCTTAGCCAAGAATGGCTTACAGGACAACCGCCATTTACTGAAGAGAAAGGATCTCCCAACAACAAGAGAAAGGGATCAGCTCTCTATAACCCCTTTGGGAGCTAGCAATGAAGTGGGTTCGTCTTGCATGTAGATGTCTTACAAAGGGAAAATTGCACTGTGAGAACTACCACTTCCCCCATCTCAGAATAATAGACCTTTTTTCTTTTCTTTTCAAATTAAGAATTTGGAGGCGATTTTTATTTTTACCTATTTCATCCTTAAAATATAAATAAAAATAAATAACTATTTCAATCAAAAGATAAATAATTAAAATTAAAAAATAATTATAAAATTAAAAAAAAATATTTGTCTTCTTTAAAATATGAAAAACAACTATTATTTTGGGACAAATTCTAAATAAAAATACATTTATTATTTTGGAACAAAGGGAGTATTTATTGCTAACTTTGGTTATTATTGTGACAAAAAGTTGTTTTACAAATTGAATTATACCGAACTGCAAAACAACAGCTCTTTACCTCCTAATATTGGGCTCTTCTCTCTCAATCCAAGGACTTTAATTTTGCAATTCAGTACAGTTCAGACTGTAGTACAATTTGGACTATAGTACAATTCGGACCGTAAAACAAGGAATCCTTATTGCAGTTTGGAGTTTTTTTTTTAATTGTTGTTGATATACGCTATTACAATTTTTCTAAGGAACAAGAGTTAATTGGTTTTCAACTATTTAAAATTAATGATAGTTTGATTGTTGAGTTCACCCTACTCACTGAGGCATGGTTGCTTTACCATACTTTGATGAAAATTGTTCCTTTAACAACGGATGTCCTCATTATTCGGTATATGTTTCCTCCCTTTCTTTCCTGGTTTTTGGTTTTTGCTCTCTTAGTTTTAAGGTCACTTTGTATCGTTGCAGTATTTGTTGGTTATAATTGTCTGTTTTCTCTCGTATGACAATTTTCAATGTGTAGAACAAGTAGAGGTGTTGGTAAAATGTATTTGATAACTGGTTTTTTTTTTTTTTATTATTATAATTGAAAAAAAGTTTAGCTGATTATTGAGGTCTTATCATAAGGCTATCCTTTTTCAAACATAAATCTTAATCAAGACTTAGGAACAAGGACCTAATTCTTAAGTCTTGATTAAGACTTCTCTAATAAATAGAGGACCTTACAATTTATTATAAGGTCCTCTATTTATTAGAGAAGTCTTAATCAAGACTTAAGTTATTGTAAAGTCCTTTATTTATTAGAGATCAAGGCTTAAGTTTAAGTCTTGATTAAGACTTCTCTAATAAATAGAGGACTTTATAATGCATTATAAGATCCTTTACTTTTTACAGGAGTCTCAAACTTAAGTCTTGATTAAGACTTCTCCAATAAATAGAGGATCTTATAATGCATTATAAGGTCCTTTACATTTTATAGGAGTTTTAAACCTAAGTCTTGATTAAGACTTTTCTAATAAATAAAGGACCTTATAATACATTATAAGATCCTCTATTTTTTGCAAAAGTATTGATTAAGATTTCTCTAATAAATAGAGGACCTTATAATGCATTATAAGGTCCTCTACTTTTTACAGGAGTCTTAAACTTAAATCTTGATTAAGACTTCCAATAAATAGAGGACCTTATAATGTATTATAAGGTCCTCTACCTTTTCTCACCAAAAAAACAATATTTCAATTGGTCCCTACTTCCGCTTGCTGACGACATTTTCTCCTGTCTGATTGGATAGAGAGAATTATTTGTCTGGCCTAATATTTTCGTGACCCATTGGAAAGTCAAGCTCTACACCCACTTCGCCTGCCCACGAGAATCTCTGTTTTTCTTTATCCGCTTATAAATTGACCCAATTAAGTTCTCACACTTCATTCTCCTTAACCTAGCTTTCAGCAAATTCTTCACTATAGTGCAGGTTTTCGAATGGCAAATTTGAGGGTGGTTCTCACAACAAGAGCTGTTACTCGTTATGGGATTGCCTCAGGCAGGGTCAGTGCGTCCAATCGGCACTTTGTTGAAGAAATGCCCAGGATTCCACCAGAACAGAAGTCAAGACCGTTTCTGGCTAGGGATATGCAGGGGCGCCGCATTTATCACCTTGAGTACAAGAGGAGGATGGTGGGGCTCCGTCGGAAGCAAACAATTACTGGTTTAAGACGCTTCTTTCGAGAGCATGGTTTGCAACCTGGGGATCGAATTACTTTGTACAAGGAGGAGGGCAATGAGATGATATTGATGGGACAACTGATCTCTCCACTCTATGTGATCCACTTTGAGAGGGTTAACGAAGTTGCAGCCGGTGAAGATCCCGCTCCGTTGCAGGCTGGTGATCATCATGCTCCTTGAGGATTAACGAAGGTGTTTTCGGGTAGATGCTTTTTTTTTTTTTCTTTTTCTTTTTTGGTTTTTTTCACGTCTTTCTGTTGTGGTTTTTCAATAAATGTAAATTCTCTAGCCTAAGACGCTTCTTTCAAGAGCATGGTTTGCAACCGGGGGATCTAATTACTGTGTACAAGGAGGAGGGCAATGAGGTGATCTTGATGGGAAAACTCATCTCTCCACTCCATGTGATCCACTTTGAGAGGGTTAACGAAGTTGCAGGCCGCTGAGGATCATGCTCTTTGAGAAAGCTGAATCAGTCTGTTAAAAGATCAAGGTGTTTTCTGTTAGTCTTCTTCTTCTTCCTTTTTTTTTTTTGTCTTTTTCATGTCTTGCAGTAGTGTCTTTTTTGCTGTTTGTTTGTAGTGATTTTCCACTAATGTAATACTCTGGTCTGGTCCGGTCAGATACGACCTGTTTGTATTTAGTAAATATAGAAATTCGATCTTCCTGTCTTTTTTTCTCTTCTAAATATATAGAATTCCTAAATCTATTGCCCTGTTTGTATTTAATAATGATACACAAATTACACTTTTTTAGATATATAACACTATAGGTCTTAGTGTAATTGAAAAAATAATTGTTAATAAATAATAATAATAAAATTATATTGTATAAAAATTTATTAAAAATTTATATTATCATTTTAACTGATAAATACGAATGCCAGAACCCCATTTTTATAAAGCTAGTTTGGGTGATTTAGTAATTAACGTGTTCTGGGGTCCCACTCATACCATATAAGCTAGGTCGCCGTGCTCATATGTTTGGGTCATTTTTTCTCTCTCTTTGACCTTCGCGGCATAGATTTTTGTTGGGGTGCTAATTGGTTGTGGGGAGGAGGGAGTTGACAGATCTGGGACGAGTCGAGCGGCCACCAGCGAGGAAAGAAAGAGTGGGTGGGGGAGAAGGTGGAACACTTGAAGGAGGGGAACAATCGGCCGGTTATGCGGATTTGCCCATGGATCGAGTAGGAGAGGAACGAAGAGGAACAGACGACAGATGAAATGGCGGAAAGGAAGATCTGGTGTCCAATCGGGCCGGTTTCGATGAGACCGTCCGGTTGTGTGCGCAAAGGAAAGAATTGAGGGAGGTGGGAGGTGTACGTGGTTGAGCAGCGGGGGAGTCCTTTACCCCCTGTCCGCTGATATCAAGTCTGCAGCCTTGTGCTGCGTTGTTGCCGCCACCGTTGCGTTTTAGCTCCGAGAATATCTTTCTCTTTCAGATATCCTTTGTTTAATTTTTCATTAGATTCATGTCTTTATGTCTCCTTTTTGTAAATCATTTTGGTAGATTAATTTTTAGTCAGTCTGATTCGGATCTGACCTTTAATTTAGTGTACTTGATGTTAGAGTCCTAAAAGGGGGGAGTTAAGGGAGTCAGGGGGTTACAGGGAGAGGAAATGAAGTCTCCCTGGATTTTGAGTCAGGTGCCTACCTATTTAAAAGCAGATACCTTCTTTTTGGCATATTCCAGATGTTGAAGTTTAACACAAAACTTTCTGGCACGACTCTGTTTCTTTTTCTGAATTTAGCCCTTTTAATTTCTTCATTAATTTTTTTTCCCCTCAGATTCTTTGGTTGGTTCTAATGTTATTTGCAAACCTCATCTTTTGCTTGACTGTATATTTTGATTGTACGTTATTCTTCTCTATGTTGTTCACTTTGGTTATCGTGTTTACCTGAACAAAGGAATGGGTTTGCTCTACTTTGGTTCTATTTTAGTGCTAAAAGTTCAGTTTTCTCAAAAGTGATTTTTATTTCTTTATTTTGTTTCTTTATTTATTTATTTATTTAAATCTTGATCAAGACTGAGCCTTTCGGGTTGAAATGTCTCCTTATGGATCAATTGAGGATCTGAAAAGGGTTCTTTTCATTGCTCTGTTGGGTGAGATTATATTTCAATTATTTTTTCTCTGTCCTAGACATCATATGGATTGATGCGACTGTCATCCTATAGTGACAGAATTCCTTGAAGAGGAGTTTGAGGCGAAGATTTCATACTTTGATGCTTCTAAAGCTATGATTTAAAGTTAATAGTCTTGAGGTTGTGTCCTGATGATTATTTAAATTTAATAACTTTGGTTGCTTATATTATTGTGAAATTTGTCGCTGAACCTGAATTAATAACATGAATGGTTTGTTTTAATTGCTTGAGATT